TCTTCACTTTCACTTAAATGGTTTTGCATGCTTGTGATTGAGATTTTAAATTCTTCTATATCTCTTTGACTCTGCTTCATGCGATTTCTTTCCTGTGTTGCTCATTCAAGGAATCTGTAATTTTTCTAATCTCCTCTACTTTTTTTTATCGATGTCTTCTTTAGAAGCAGTTATAAATTCTTTTATTGTTGTGATTTTTTCAGATTGGGTTTCCTCCTTATGTTTCTGTAGTTGATTCTTTACTTCAAATGTTATGAGTTCTGAGAATTCTTTTCTTATTTCAGAAAATTCCACTCTGAGTTCCTCTATGACTTTCTGCTGTTGCTTATTTACTATCAATACTTTTAATTCATACATTTGAGCTGAGCTAGTGTCCTCTGCACTTGTTCTGGGTGGGCATTGGGTTTCCTCCATATGTTTCTGCTTTTGATTCTTACTGCAGATGTTATTAATTCAAGGATTTCTTTTTTCATTTCCAATCTGAGTTCCTCTATACCTTTCTGCAGCTGTTTCTTTATGTCAGAAGCCATTGATTCATTGATTTCCACTGTGTGATTCCTACTTTGTTCTGTGTTATTGTCCTCTGCCCTTGTTATGGGTGGGCTTGGATTCTGAGGTTACATTTTGCTCCTTCTTGTTGTCATTTTGTGTAGCACTGTCTTCTGACCTTTGTTGTAGATCTTTGTTGCAGCCTTAGCACCTCCTGAAATGCAGGTGTAGATCTACAAAGTTTGGGTTTATCCAGCTGTGCCTGGCTTGGGTCAGGCTGCTGTGCTCAGCTCCTTCCTGCTGCTGCCCTTGAGGATGAACCTGTTGTACTTCTCTGGCAAGATGTTCTGCTCCTGGACTAGCTGGGTGGTTCTGTCTCCTGTATGCCAGGCCTGAGCTGAGTCTGGAGGGGACAAGGTGGAGTAGGGGGAGACACACTCACTCTCCCACACACTCACTGGGCCTGGTCAAGGAATGGATCTGGGGGGGTCCCGCCGGCCTCAATCCTTTATTATTTGGATAATTGAATAACTGTAATGCACTTGATACTGTACTTAGAGCTTAATGTCCATACCATTGAATCCCAAAAAGGTCAGTTTTATTTTTTCTTCTTTAAAGCTTTAAAAAATTGCAAATGAAAGAGGTAAAATAACTTCCCCAAGGTCACGCAGTCCATAAGTATTGGATTTGGAATGGAAGGTCAATGATGACTATTTCCAGGGCCTGACTTCTTGATATAATAATGATGGCAGGCCTGGTTAGTGTGCCCATGGTCCTCCATTCAAGCCAGTAACACACCATTACCGTGGAGATGTCTCATGCCCTCAATCAGGGCTGATTTAAAGTGTGCTTGCTCCAGAGTCCTATGACAAATTAAAATCAACTCTAGTTGTAATAGTTACAAAAGTCATAGTAACAGCTTCTTCCATGTTGAGCTTAATTAAAGAGTAGTTTAAATGTTTAAACTACTGGGCTTAATAACAAAGCTCATACATGGTTGTTCTCAGAACTGTAAATGTGGTTCAGGACAATAGAGGTATCAGCAGCTCGTGGGCTCTCAAAGGATGCTGGGTCTTCTCATTTCCCTCTGCTCATGAAGCTCCTCTTGTGGCACTGTTTGATTAAAAGCATCCTGGGGAATCAAATTCAAGTTCCCTAGAACAAGAAATCAGTAGAAATGGGCCCTTCTGAAGTCCTCTCCTCTCTAGAGGTGGTTGCCAAAAGAAAAGCTTTAATTCATATGGAAATGAGAGGTTGACAGTTTGAAAACGTTGATATTTGCTAGAAGTTTGATTGAAATAACTAGATTCCAGTCTTCTGATATTAGATGATGTGGTACTTTTTTTTTAGCTAATTAAGAACCAGAGGCATGGTTACAGTCTGTGTTGGCTGAGGAAAAGACAGATTCAACACTTAGGAATGAAGCTAGATGGTGAGCCCAGTGGAAGTGCTATTGTTTAGTGTGAAAGAATCCTGATCCCTAAAGTCAATTTTCAGTGAAGAACCAGGAGGTAAAACACAAGATACCTGTTTCCTCATTCTTTGGAGGTAGTAAAAACTGCCATATGATACAAATTGCTCTTCCATGACCTTTCTTACCTACAAACACAGTGGGTTTTCCTCTGACAGATTTGCTCCTGTAGATTAAGGGGAGCTGGAGAGTTCCATGATCTTTGCTTTCTCTTTCCTTACCCTAGCATCTGTGCTTTGCTTTCTTGCTGAGTCAGATAAAAGTACATTAGGTGAATGCTTTGCGGAGCTCAGTTCATACCCAATGGCTGCTCTGAGCAGAATCCACAGAGGCTGCAACAATGACTCTGGGACTGACAGTTCCATATGCCCCTCCCTTCTCTCCCAGCAAGGAAGGAGAGGAACGTGGTGACAGTTGTGCTTGAGGACTGCATTTGACACATTGAGTTCCCAGATGTATTGCACCACCAGATCCCTTCCTGCTGTTTCAAGTGGAGCCCAAGGTCCTAAGCTCCTAAGGAGATGGGGACCTCGCCTCACCCTGCCCCTGGAGGAGAGTGTAGATTCCCTGACTTACATCACAGAAAGGAATGGCAGGTCACGATGAGGACAGGTACAGAAAGACTTATTAGACAAAAGTAAAGAAAGCCATACTCAGAGAGTGCATGTGGGTCCTTGAGCGAGGGGCACATGGTGATCTGGGGCTGGCAGCTTTTAGGTGGTCTTAGGAGGAGTTTGTGGAATTTGTGAATTCCTCATTAAGAGCCATTTCCTGATGAAAGTTCACTTTATGGGAGAAAGGCATGGGTAACCTAATTTTTCAAGACTTAAGAATTTAGAAATGAGTAGTCCAGAAGGGAAAAATATTGTAAGCTGAACAATTTTTAAAGCACTATTTTCTTGTCTCCTTTTTGCCTGTCTTTATTTCTTCGATCCTATTCACTATGAACATTGTAACAGCACTGGAGAGTAAGCAGTTTCAGATTAGCCACCTCCCTGAGGTGGAAGTGTGCAGAGGGTCTCCAGCCCAGTGCAGGTCCTCAGCCAAATGTTCCTTCGGGGGACGTGGGCGAGCCCCTTCTCTTCCAGTGGCTGAAGAGACTTGTGTAAACTGCAACGCGATCTCCTTTAGATCGCACAGGACCCGGAGCTGATTTCAGCCTCACCAGGGGCTCCTGCGCAGGCCTGTCCCATGGCCTCATTGCCGTGAAGGTGCGGTGGCTGGACTTGCACAGATGCTTGCTGAATGAATACAAGGTCATTATGATTGTTAGTTTGCTTTAGAGAAACAAGGCCAGTGGCTGGCCTTAGGGCCTGCCTCCAGGGAGCGGCGCAGCAGCCCCACTTAGCTCCTGAAGGGGGCAGGGTTGGAGCCATCTCATTTAGCATCCAGCCAGGTCCTTTCCAGCCTGATGGCGGTGCTTGTCTCCCCACCACTGCCCCTTTGCCTGCCCTGCTCACTTGGCCTTCTGGTCCCCCATAGCTTTCTAAAGTGCAGCAACTGCCGAGCACCCCCCATTCTTTCTGGACCCTGGGACTCTGAACTTGCACCCCTTCCCGCTTGTACTCCATCCCTGCCCACCTCTGTCCCTGCCTGCTGTCTCCTGCTTGTTACTACTTCTAAGGTTCCTTCTGAAGCCCCTCTCAGTGGAGCCACCCACTGTCTGCCCTCCTGCAGTTCCCATGTGCACTTGATACACTCTTGGTCCCTGTGCCCATTTCTGGGTGCTCAGAGATGATCCCATCCTCCCTTCCCTGCCTGCTCCCCTCCTTCCCCACCCACCATCCTTCCTCCTTTCTGTTTCTATTGACCTTTATAGGGACAGAGATGAGGTTCTGTTTCCTATTGTGTCTGTAATGCTTAGGACAATCCCTGGCATCCACTAATTGCTCAATAAATATTTGATAATAAGGATTTGTTTGATGCATAGAAAAGCTGAAACATAAGACTTATCTACCCTGTCAGATACCTAAAAATTATTTTAATGTAAATATTTGTGAATAACACTTTAGTACAATAGTCTGTCCCTAGCCATGAGGAATATTTCTAGGATCCTCAGCGCGTGTATAATAAAGTTTACAAATTAGGCACAATAAGAAATCAACAACAACAAATAATGGAATGGAACAATTGTAAAAACATACAATAATTAAAGTTATGTGAAGGTGGTTTCTCAGAACACCCTTTGTACTTTCACCTTTTCTCTTAGAAGAAGGGATTTATGGCTTCTTTTTGGCTTCTCTAAATTGCTCCCATCTCCACTGTTGAGTTTTGAGGCCATTATTATAAATAAAATTAGGTTACTGGAACATACAGACTGTGATGTCTATACTGAGTTAGTCTGCTGACCAGGATGGCTTAGGACTAAGTGCTACTGGGAGGGTAGCATATATCATGTGGATGCCCCAGAAGAAGGAACGATTCATATCTGAGGCAGGACAAAGTGGGAACCTCAAGGAAGGCTCAAATGGTACACAATTTTAAACTAATAAATTGTTTACTACTGGAAATTTCCACTTAATACTGCCACATACAAGGGTGAGTGGAACCATGGATAAGGAGTGGCTGTTGTGCTCCCTTGGCCCTTGGCGTCGGATGAAGATAACTGGAGGCAGCAAAAATCTCCCCCTCCCCCTTGTGACCACAGATCCAGACTCCTCTCCTCACCTAACTCCACAGATTTCAGCAAGAGATTGGAGGCTGTACAAAGAAACAAGTGGGAAATCTATAGTCCCGGCCTTGTCCCTGTCGGGACACCGACACAGTCCCATACTACCTTATCTTATGACCGTATTTTATTTGCTTGGCATAAATATTCAGGTGCTAGTAGAGAGTGCTTTAAAATGATAGAATATATTTGGGGTGTGTGTGTGTGTGTGTGTGTGTGTGTGTGTGTATGCGTGCGCGGGTTGCACGCATGCGCGCGCCTGTGTGTGGGGAGTAAGAAATTTAGAATACTTAACATATCAGGAACAAGGAAAAGAAATATTTTTGTTTAAAAAGGTATTATTAGTAAAACCCTTATTTAAATTCATTCTAGGAAGTCTGTCATTGAAGGGAGTGACTTAAATGGAAAACATCGGCAAATAGTCATTAAGGAAAATATCTCGCAGCCACGAGGAGTCGCTGTCCATCCAATGGCCAAGTAGGTATCTGAGACAGGAAGCGTCCTCTCTGCAGCAGCCCACAGTGTCAGTCCTGCCTGTAGGCTGGTCAGGGGACTGAAGCCAAGAAAGCCCAAGAGATGTGCTCAGATCTTCAGAAATGATGTGGTACCACGCGTTCCTCATTTTTGTGATGTCTTGATTTTCTGTTCTTATATAATAATTATTTTAAGCAAATTCAGTTTCTTTTTTTTTTTTTTTAAAGAAGTGGGCTATAAGCCATTAACCAATTAGACTTAAGCATATTAATGTACTTGCTTTAAAAAATCAGCATCATTTATGAAGAACAAAAGAATGTTTGGACTGTTTGACTTGGGAATTCTTTTTAGAAAAACCATTAGGTGACCTCAAATGACACATTATTCCTAGATTTAGGCAAGAGGAACTATGAAAGATTAAAAGATTCCATGCTGCCAATTAGCAATTCATATCACATGTTGCAGTGAGGTAGAGAATTAAAGAGAGAGTAAAGGATTCTTTCCTAGTTATTAAAAAACAAAACCAAGAAGCCAACTCTGCTTTGTTTATGCTGGAAATGTCCCAGTAGTCTGGGGGAGGTAACATATTGGTAGCAATTAATCATTGATTTTAGCCCAACTAAATGGTTAAAACTGAGCATGTGAACATCCTTCAGCAGGCCAACAAAATATTCGGCCACCGTGACTTCAAAAATATTCCCAACACCTGGCTTATGGAACTTAAAATTAGCTGAGAAAATTTAGTACATTGTATACAACCGAGTAAGGCAAGTGTACTCCTCTGCTTATGTTGTGGTTTTACCTGTACATAGCAGAACAGTCTAGCAGGAATCACTGCATTTTGCAGCTAATTTAAGACTACTCATCTAGGCACACTTTTGATTAGCAATATGTATTTTAAAAACAAAACCCTTTTTTAATCTAATGCTCTGAGCTTTCATTCAGTCTTTCTTATCCAGTATGCTTTACTTAGATAAGTTAACTATTTTGCTTTTGAAAATTACTCATCCAACACGCAGTGTTATATTTTGTCCTTTAAATTCCTTGGTACAGCACTTTAGCGTATGCTGAAGTTATTTATACTGATATTTTCAATGATGAAAGAATGGAATAATTTTTTCAGAAAAATTCTATTTGTTGTATGATTCGTTGATTTAAGGAGATTGTTCTGGACTGATATGGGGGTGAATCCACGGATTGAAAGCGCTTCCCTGCAAGGCTCTGGCCGGCTGCTTATAGCCAGCTCAGATCTGGTGGAGCCCAGCGGACTGACTATTGACTACCTGATGGACACCTTGTATTGGTGCGATGCTGCACGGTCTGTGATTGAGATGGCCAATCTGGATGGTTCCAGACGCCAGAGACTTGCCCAGAATGATGTAGGTGAGGCCTTGGGGTGGGCAGTCTCATCTTGGTTGAGTATAGAAGACTGTCCTCTATGAAACGTGTTCACACACACAGACACGCACACATGTGGCCATATTGTGAGAAAAAGAGTAGAGACTGACAGGGAATTGTGAGCTACAAGGATTACCTTAGTGAAAATAAATCCCAAAGAAAATGCAAAATTTTTCTGTATTTAGGGATAAAAGTTAGCTTTGGTGGTTATTATTTCTTATGTTTTAGAAAATACCACTTTACAAGAGGGATGACAGCGCTTTTGGCATCGCTGCACATCAATGGTAACGTGCAAAGTTTGGTGAATACAGTTTTCAGTCCGGCAAGCTGGTGTATGCCTGTAATTCCAACCCTCTCATAGGCCAAATCAGGAGGATTAAAAGTTCCAGCCCAGCTTGGGCAATTTAGCAATTTGGTGAGACTCCACCTGAAAAACAAAGTCAAATCAGGCTGGAAAGGCTGGGGATATAACTCTGCAAAGGCCCTGGATTCAATCTCCGGTAGCACAAAAACAAAATGAAAACAAAATAGTGTTCTTCTCTACTATATTTTCAGATGTTTCCTTGAGGGATCATTTATTTTCATAAATATCTTAGCGATGGGAAGTCCAAGTAGATTTGGAATTGTATAAGTGGTGTGAGATTTATTTTGATCCAGGGAGCCTATAGGCTGCTTTTGAAATAAGCCATGTGACAAATAGGTGGTGATAAAAGGCAAAAAACTGCTTCTGTGTGTTAGAACCACCAGGATGTGGTGACCAGACTTAACTCTGCATCTACTAAGGAACTGCAGAATGTTCTCGAGCAGGTGACACAAATGATCAGCCCAGCACCTCTGTATAACTGCGTGGGCAACAGCGCAAGGGCTGGACTGGAATTTAGACAGAAGGAAACCAGGAGGCTACAGTGGTTGTGCAGGCACCAGTTAATGAAGGCATGAGACATTGTCAGTGATGGGCTGGGAGGTGAGGATGCGGGTGAGTTACTGTGGGTTAAAAACCAAGACGATCTGGTAACAGGCTGGTGTCAGCAATAGAAACTGATTGGGAAGATGCAAAAACAGACTCTTTCTTCCTACATTTCTAAGGTTCTTAAAAAAATTACACTTCATAGTAGTGAGAAGTGTGTGTGTGCAGTCAGAGTCGTTATCCATCCATGCACTTAGGTCATTGCAGAAATGGAGATCCAGTGTTGCGTAAAACAAATACAGTAACTGTAGAGTCCTGGGGTCTTGTAGGGGAGACATACATTACTTTAAAAAACACTGCCCAAGTAAATGTAAAGCTATAGCTTTGCTATAGAAGAGTAGGAGAGTACTGGGCAGACCTGAAGCAGAATGTAAAAGCATCATATTCCGGGGTGGTCTCTGACCAGGGTCTGCGGGCTCCATGGCAGGAAGGTGTGGCAGAGGACAGCCGCTCATGGCATGGCGCCCCAGAGAGAGACTGGTGGAGCAGGATCCAAACCCTTCTGGGTCACACCTTCAGTAACACGGGTCTTCCAGCCAGGGTCCACCTCCTATCAGCCCACTTCAGCCCACAGCTCTGCACAGCGCGCCCAAAGTGCAGTTGTCGTTAAAGATGTGAGGCTTTGGGGGAGACAGTGTCGCTTAACAATAGCAGCGCATAAAAAAAATTCCTTTGCTGCACGTAGGACACTAATTCAGACAAAGCTAGAGGCTAAATGAGTCTTAAGGGCCCTGGTCAGTTAGTGGACTCGCGGACACCAGGATGAGTCATTTATGTTTGCTGCCCATACAGGGAGACATTCATTGTAATCTACCAACTCCACTGCTCATTTTTGAGAAGATTGTTCTGAGAAATGTGAATAGGTGCGATGAAAGCCTGGGCCTGCCCAGCTTCAGTGTCCAACCAGCTGAGGTAGTGCAAGCTCCTAAGTTTGATTCCCAGTACCAAAAAAAAAGCAGTTTTGGGGCATGGAAGAAGTGGTTGAAGCAGCCATGAAATGAAGCCAGGAAATGGCAAACAACTTTCAAAAAAAAAAGTGAAGAAAAAAAAAAGAAATCTGGTGGCACACTTCTGTAATCCTAGCTACTCAGAGGCTGTAGCAGGAGGGTCACACATTTAAGGTCAGATTGGGCAATTTAGCAAGATCCTGTCTCACAATAAAATATAAAGAAGAGTGGGGTTTAGTTCAGAGCTGCTGGGATGCAGTGCCCAGTTTACAGGAAAAATGAGGTGGGGGAGGGAAGGAAAGAAGGAGAAATTAGAGGAATCAAGAGGATGAGGACATTAAGATTAGAGAAGCCACGCATAGTGCCATACACCTATAATCCTAGTACTCTGGGAGGCTGAAGCAGGAGGATCACATGTTCAAACCCAGCCTAGAGGGACCAGCAAGATAGCTCAGTGATCTAAAGAGCCTGCTTATGCAAGCGTGCAGGGACCACGGTTCCATCCCGGCAATATCTGACATGCCGGCCCAGCCCCCAGGGCAGGCAGAGCCAACCACACACACAAAGAGAAAGAAAGAAAGACAGACAGACAGACAGACAGACAGACAGACAGACAGAAAGAAAGAAAGAAAGAAAGAACCCATCCTAGGAAATGTAGTGAGTTAGCAAGACACTGCCTCAAAAAAAAACAAATAAAGATAAATAAATAATAAAAATAAAGATAAAAGGGCGGGGGAGGTAGCTGTGTTTGTAGGCCTTGAGTTTAATTTGTTGCACTGCAAAGAAAAAGAGAGAGGGAGAGAAGAGAGGAGAGTAATAGACATCAGAAGGAGCTGGTGGAGGGAGGGGCGTGTGTGTGTGTGTGTGTGTGTGTGTGTGTGTGTGTGTGTGACACAAGGGTGCAGTCTCTGGACTGTTAGGTAAGAGGAGAGTGGGGTTCAATGCAGAGAGATGTGCTGGTGGAGATGAGAATTGGAGAAACACTTATTCAGCTCCCTCAGATTTTAAAAATCCTTACCCACACCTACAAGTCTCATCTCCTGGTTATTACAGTTGTTCAGAGGATGAGGACCCTCCAGCAAAGAGCAGCAGAACCTCTATTTCAAGTTTAGTCTATAAGTAGTGGCAGGTGACCTCGAGATAAGACATCCCTACTTGGCCTTGTGTAAGCCCAGCAATCTGGGAGGTGAGGCTGGAGGATATGGTGAGACCCTGTCTCAAAGAAAGATCATGAAAGGTCCTCAGGACTGAAAAACACATCCCACACCACCCAGATGGGGGGTGATGATAGAGGGCTTGGTTAGGACCTTGTATGAGCCCAGGCTCTTCAAAGAACCAGGTCTCTGCACTCCAGGTTCTGTGGGATGCAGATGTAGGTCAGCAGCTCCATGCAGAATGCTCCCGTGAGGAGCTGGTCAGGTGTAGGAAATGCATGGGTGTGGGGCATCACCCTCCCACAGAAGTAGTGATGCATGCTGTGCTCTATGAATTGCTTCCAGGCCACCCATTCGCCTTGGCTGTGTTCGAGGACCACCTCTGGCTGTCGGACTGGGCTGACCCATCGGTAATGAGGGTGGACAAGAGGACTGGCCAAAACAGGGTACGTCTGCGAGGCAGCGTGCTGAAACCCTCCTCACTGGTTGTGGTTCACCCATTGGCAAAACCAGGTACACTGGAACTGTCCCACGTCCTGCTGGGCTGGAATCTGCGACTCTTCCAATCAGTAGCAGGCAGTGGGTGGAGGGGCTGGGGCAATTTCCACTAATCTGCCTAAATGTTGAGATTTTCTAAGATTTGGGCTATGCTTGAGGGAGCACGTCTGGTAGTATGGTAATTTTGGCTTCCGCCTGGATTTGTTATTTGGTGTCTTGGGATGTCGTCTGTCAATGTTGTCTTTTTCCCTCCTGCATAGTTTTTGCCTACACTTTGAGGCCCCCAGGTTACAGGCCCAGAGGGCAGGTGATTTAGAGGCTTGCAGTGGCAACTTCCATCCACAGGGCCTCCCCAGCCCAGCCTGAGCAACAGAAGCCTCCAGGATCCCACTGCAGCCCTTCTGCCCCAGCTGCCATCAGCTCACTTGGATGATGGGTCAGGAAATAGCGATCATGGCTGACTGTTAAATAGGTGTTTGAGCCAAAGTGCTCTCCATCCTTGCTCAGTAGTCAGAAGGTGGGCACATTTGTGCTCGCCTGGGAATCAGTGGCCGGTGGGGCGTGCTGCGCAGGAGCAGGAGCCCTGGCCACGCCTTCTCTTCAGAGCCCATGGAGCGGTTCTCCCCAGAGCCACACACAGTGATGCACAGTGATGGCACCTGCAGCTCCTTCTGCATGTCACAGCCCACCCTGAGGTTGCCTCTTTCCTCCACCAGGTGCAGATCCCTGCTTACATCAGAACGGAGGCTGTGAACACATTTGTCAGGAGAGGTTTGGAACTGCTCGGTGCTCGTGTCATGAAGGTTTCAGGAGCGCCGCAGATGGGAAGACGTGCCTTGCTCTGCAGAGTCAACAGCTGTCAGCTGGTAATGGTAATGTGGGAGATGGTGTTACTAAGTTGTCCTATGTGTGAGTCCGCTTTCCTTCCGTCCCTCTGCTTTGCCTGGTGGTTCATATTTTGTGTTACTAAAAGCTCTCCTATTTTTACAAATGCTAAGAGTGTGTTTGGGGTTTTTCATACTTTTGATGAGCTTTGGGTTCCTTGTTACAGACTAAATTAAATGGACTTCCCAACAGCAAAAGCTTGCAGCTTCTCCATATATAGTGGAGTTGGCACAAGCCTGGAAATTAATACCAGCATTTCATCACTTCATAAAAATGTTTGGAGAGGTTTTGTTTAGAAGTTTTATGTCTTCCTTTTTAGGAGTAAGAATACACACTTTTCCTCCCACATGACAACTCTTAATAGGAAAATCAAAGTTATAAAAAAAAAAGTTAGCATATCAAACAAATTGGAAATCCAACCTGAGAAAGCTTGGGATCAATTTTTTTTAAATAAACTGAATATGACTGAGGGAGAGGGAGGGAGGCCAAGGCAGGCCTGCATGCCATGAGGGTGCCAGTGTCCTTTTGAATTGTCCAGGCAGACATAAAGTCACCTTTTGCTATCTTTCTACCTAAAGCATACAAAAGATAATTTAAATTTTATCAAAAGAATTTTGAAATTTTTATTTCTCTTTTTACCCATGGTATAAATATGTTAGGTGACAGTGTGGCAAGGAGTAGATGGGTTGATTTGTCCGTCGCTCAGGGCTGGAGAGTTTAGATTTTCATAATTTTCTGTTAATTTTTGTCTTAGCACAAACTCTTACTCTCAAGCCTCCCTTCTTTACTTTTAAAAAATTATTGAAGAGTTTTTGTTTATGTGGATTATATCTGCTAATGTTTGTAATATTGAAAGTGAAAATTATAGATATCTTTCTTATGCTTCTAAAGAAAATCCATTATCTATTCACATTACATATTTTTTTTTGAAAATAACCTAAGCATATTTTCCAAAACCAGAAATCTATCATGTGCAGGGTGGCACTGCTGTATATTCACATTGTTAAGATCTGGTGTTGCGAGGACAGCTGGGTGCTCATAGCTGAGTTAAATCTGTCACACGTCACAGAGAGCACATTGGCCAAGCAATGGCCGTGACTCATCCACATGGCTGCACTGATAAAGGTTCGACAATCTGAGGTACAGGATCTCAGGACAAATCCTGAGGGCATTTCACTGACCTTCTCAGACCAAAAAGCTAAACTCTTGTTGCATAGGTCTTGCTTTACCTCGTTCTTAACCATCCAGTAGAAAAGTATGAAGTCGAAATATAAGAAATAAAGCCATGCTGTTATGTTGAGCTGTGGGGGACTCAGGTCAACAATTTCTGACATTGCCAGTTAAACAAAAGACCCAATGCTATTATGGGCTACTGGACTCTTTTAGAATATTTTGCTGAGTTTACACACCTATAATATTCAATAACGGAACTTAGAAAAAATGGGGTATACAGATGAATGTCCATTTTGTATCTGTGTATTCAAAGAGGTTGGGATAGATATATAGTTGCATTCTTTTAATGAATAGAATGATTTGTTCTAATGGTGTTTGTAAATAGGATCACAAGTCCGCATCTTATACAGCAATTAACCACTAAGAAGAATATATGCAGTGTATTATTTGTTGAAACTGTACTTCCGATTTGATTTGAAACTGTCTCATTGCTATATGTTTATCAATAAAACTTTGAAAAAAAATAAAAAAAATAAAAAATAAAAAATAAAAAATAAAATAAATCTGTCACACGTTGCTCTGGTTGAAGACTCTGAAGAGAAACCAGCCTTGGCAAAGGGCTGTTAACAGCCATTTGAAATGCCTTCTTTGGGGCTCTTCTTTTTCATTTTGGACGCCATACCGGAACAGGACAGGCAGTAGTTTCTTATGGCTTCACTGCAGGTGGAACCTGCCACTGGTGACAACCACAGCCTATTTTCCTTAAAGTGATGATGTACTTCTTCATTTGAGAGAAAATCTTTGCAAATACCCGCATCTTAATAGCAGAATCTTCCTGTTAGTCCTTTTGTCTCCCAAATAAAAGTCACGTCTTATGAAGAAAAGTGGCTCATTTCAGCTTGCAGGCAAAACTCACATCCATGCTCTTCCTCTCTGTGGCCATCAGCCCTCCAGCAGGGGCTGGAAGCAGGCTGAGTGTGCTTCCCATTTTATTATGCAAAATATTGAACAGTTCTCTAGTCGATGGTCAAGAGTTTTAAAGAAATCAGACACATAGGCTTAAATATTGCATGATTTCTCTTATATGAGAAACTCAAAGTATAAATAAAGAACAAAATAAAAGATAAATATGGAGATGACCTGCAGAAATGGCACCTTGCAAGGGGATGGAAAAGAAGGAAGAACAGGCCATCAGCCTCCAGGTTCACCTGGCTGAAGAAGAGAATGTATTTGGTGTCTGTCACATCTTTGCATCCTTCAATGATACTTTCGTCCATGTCACTGATCTCTCTGGCAAAGAAGCCATCTGTCACATGACTGGTAGGATGAAGGTGAAGGCTGCTCGAGATGAATCCTCCCCATCCGCTGCCATGTTGGCTGCCCCAGATGTGCCCAGAGGTGCAAGGAGTTGGTCATCACCACCTTGCATATTAAACTTCAGGCCACAGGCGGAAACAGGACTAAGACCCCTGGGCCTGGCGCACAGTCAGCCCTCAGAGTGCTCACTCGCTCGGGAATGGAGATCGGGAGGACTGAGGGTGTCACTCCCATCCCCTCCGACAGCACCCACAGGAAGGGAGGTCCCAGTGGTCACCATCTGTGAACAAGGCTCAAGTTGCTTTCAGTTAATGAATTACCTTCATGTACACTAAAAAATAAAGATAAATAATAGGAAGTGGGGAGGTCTTTTGCAAATGGCAAAGGAAAAAAGGGTGGAGAGAGGGAAGGGAAAAAGATGGAAAAAAGAACTAAGATGTGTTGCGTACCACGGAAGGGATGCGATCATTTGAGTTCTTCAAACATGAACAAATACAAAAGGGAGATTGAAAAACTAATTTCAAAAATAGAGCATTTGTACAAGGAAAAGAATAATAATTCTTATTGCTTCCTGAAGAGCTTTTTGTGAACTGGATTTTTAAGTGTGTGTGTGTGTGTGTGTGTGTGTGTGTGTGTGTGTGTTAAATGAGAGCACTTGGTGCCGAGCAGTGCAGCTCCTGATGGAGGTCACAGTTGCCACACGGCCCATGCGGCTGCCCTGACAGTAGCCCCCCTCTAGGCTTTTGCTCCACCACTAGGAGTGTGGACATGAGGGAAGAAGCAAGTGACACCCAAATGTGATGATGAAGGCAGTTTTGACCTTGTGGGCTCTAAGTCTTCATGCACCGGGGCTGGGGAACACAATTGCGAGAGCTTGGACTTAGAAGAACATCCATTTCTGCCTCCCCCAGTGTGGGGTGGAGCAGGTGTGTGCATTCTTGGCCTGCCTTAACTTCTGGCTTCATTATGTCCTTTTGCATTTTAAACTTCAGGTAAAAGCAGGCTAAAATAGGCAAGAAAATAACCGACAGAAAGAAGGATATGTTTAATTCCAGTGAGGAAAATCTTATCCATGGTGGCCTGTGATTATAGTCGGATTATAGTTCCAGTACATTTGTATTTATTCCTGTTTTTTGCTAGTACCTAAAAGAGTTCTCTTTCTTCCCCTCTGCATTCCTGCTCACCAGACTATCAAGGGCAACTGAGTGACACTGGCAGGGAGTGGGACAGTAGATGAGATTTTCTCCATCAGAAAGGCCCTGCCAGTTACCTAGATCCTTGTACCATAAGCATGAGTCTGAACTCCTAACCAAAGAACAGTCATAAATATAAAATTAATCTTCTCTGGATATGAAAAAGTGAAATTAGCTGTATCTGTTGGCCTTTGACAGGTGGTGAAGCTGATCAAAATAAGAAGAGGATAATGCTGGACAACGTCTCTGGGGCCAAGGCATCAGAGGACAAAACTGCAGAATCTCAGCACATGTTGGTGGCCGAAATCATGGTGTCAGGTAGGACAGTGAGTTCTGCAGTCCCCGGGCTCCGCCACTTCCATTCTACCAGTGAGAAATCCTGGATTTTCTCTTAACATTGGCTAACTCACACAAGCTAGTGAAACCGAAACTTGGACTCAAGTTCTTCTCTTCCTTTGAATGTTTGTCCGCCTCCACATTGGGGGGACGCGCACTGCACATTTAGGTGGACTGCACTGTGGGCTGAATGGTCTCAGAAGACTATAACTGGGAAACAGAGGTGAAAATTAGGGTGGAACAGATTTAAGTGTCTCCACCTACATGTTGGTACGTGTTCTGTCTTGCTGTGCTTCTGCTGGTGTGAAAAGTTAATAGCAGTTGATGAGCAAGTATCAGTTTGTTTCTTCACCTGGGGAAGAAAGTGGATTTAGAACAAATCATAGAATTCTCTTCTTCTGTGCTGTACCATTTCCCACCAAAATGTCAGATAATTTGTTCAGTACGTAACAACTTCGGGGAACCCAGTCTCCCATGTTCTGTGTCCACTCTGTATTCTGAAATCACTGGTGAGGCCGGTGGTCTTCCAGCTAGAGCTAGTTGCCCTAGAGCTCCTGCAGTTGCCAAGCTTCTCCCTGGCTGTGCCCCTCCACGGCAGCTTCACTTGACTTTGAAACAGTGTGTTTGTTTCCTTTGCTGATGAGCATTAGATTTCACTAAGATGTCTGTAGCTGTAAGGACATTCGGACATTGAAGGAAGCGCTTACCTAACATCTGTGACTTGTGAATGACATCATAGCTGTGCGCGGCTTGTAGACCTCACACCCCATCTCACTAGGGTGACTTTTGATAAGATAGAGATGTATCTTAATAATAATGACACCTGGCTTTTCAGGGGGAGGCTTAAGCATGTACTGTGTGTTTAAGTGGGTTTTCTATTTCGATCCTAATTGCAGCTCATCTTGTTACAGATGCAAAAATTAAGACTGAGAAACATTAATTAGTGACTTTGCCAAAGGTTTTTGTGACCAGATGATTAATCCACGCTAACATAAAGAAGCATGGAAAACTTTGTCATTTTAGGAATATTCCCCATTCAGCAATTTATTTTTTATTTTTTTGGTATTTTTTTAGGGAAGGGTCTACAGGGTGTTCAAGGTCTCTCTACTAGATTGGATTTGTAGTGATCCACCTGTTTACAGCCTCCCAAGAGCTGGGATTACAGGTGTGTGCCACCATACCCAGTTTCAGTTGCTGTCTGAGTGTGCCCCAGGGGCAGGGCCAGCATAGCAGGCCTGAGAATTGAACCCCCAGCCCCTGCGCCTGCTTGCAGGTACTTTAATCCACTGAGCTATTTGGGGTTTTTTTTGTTATTTTTTGGTGGAATTGGGGATTGAACTCAAGCCCCTGTGCTTGCCAGGCAAGCACTTATTCCACTGAGCCATTTCCCTGGCCCCCTGCTGAGCTATGTGGCCAGCCCTCCCATTCAGCAATTCATTGGGCATAGACTATACTGAAAGCTGGGGATACCATGAGGGGCCAGGTACAGTCTGATGTGAGGACAGGGATGAGCAATGCAATAAAGGAAAATGGTATTGATCAGTATTATCAGGACAGAGAATCTTTTCAATTCATCAGTGATCCCTAAGGCTTACAGAGAACAGTTTGGAAGACTAACTCAAGGACTAACTCAAGTGATGGAGTAAATTAAGCAGAGTGATGTTATGGAAGGATGAGGTGGCCAGAGGCCTGCCAGTCCAGATTCCACAATGCACATGGAACTAGATGGGCTCTCTTCCCCTTCTTTAGGAGAGACCAGGCCAGTGGTCTCTTGGCAGTGAGCGCCTCATCTTCAGTACTTTAGTTCTGTCCTGTTTTCCCATGGCCTGTGATGCCCCCACACCCTTCCCGGCCTACTGAGCCTGCTGTCCTTGGCTTTCTATGGGCACTGCAGTTGTACTGGCCTCACCTGCAGCACATACAGGCCGTCTCCGCCCACAGCGCCCTCTGGAGCCCTCCCCGCCCTGCCTGCACAGCCTGCTGAAGATGCTCTTCCTCAGAAAGGCTTTCCCCAGACCCTGGCCATGTGGGATCGCTGTCAGAGGTCTTCGAACCCAGTGCAGGTCCTCTACCATATCCTCACACTTGCATCTCCATAATTATCCAAGGCAGCAGGGCCCCCACTCCATCTTCATCACTCTATTCTTGGTTCTTCATTAGGCCTGGGACATAGTAGGTATTCATTTTTGAATGAATTTTATTTTTAGTGTCAAATCCCTGGAACCTTTTATTGTTTGAGAGGCTAGAGTTTCTTCTTTTTCCTTCCCACTTTCTTTCTTTTTCCTTCTCTCCTTTCACAATATGAGGGCTCAATCCCAGATCCTCACATAGCCTGTGGATGTGCCTTGCCCTGAGCTTATCCGCAGCCCAGAGAAGCTAGTTCTTCAGCATTATATCATGATATCCTTCAATATCTCTATTTAAATACACACCATACTTCTGACTTCTCAGAGATCTTTTAAATAAATTTTCCCCTAACCCTTATAATAATCATGGGAAATAGACCTAGCAGGTATTGCCCCCGTAGTTGAGACAGGAAGAGTGTGTGGGCAAGTGTTCCTCCCAGAGCTAGCTTGTGGCAGAAAGGACTTGGGCTCTAGCCCGTTCTGCCTACTACCACATATCCTTGCTTTTCATCATGCCAAGCTAACTCAAGACTTGCAAGTTACTCAAGTCCTGAATCATATTCTAATTTAGGATAATTCTACAAGGCATTTAAAATGTCTTGGGTAATTGGATACCATCCACACTATACTCTGAACAACCTTGTGATTTGAGATCTAGTCTTCCAAAATGAGTACTGAATTCAGTGGGTAATTCATTAGTGTGAACTGACCATGCTGAGTCGCAAATGTGAGGAGGTGGCCAAGCCAGCAGGAAGGTAAATGTTTTCACAAAAGATATCCTGCTTCACAGCTAAGTGAATTGAGAACTGTTAAATCATCGAACAGCCTTTTGAAACCTGGGTGTGTTTATTTCCAGCAGTTATGTAGTTCAGACTTGAAAATGAAAAAAAAAAAAAAATTATAGACCTCTTCACTCAGGGGTCTTTCAACACCAAATAGTTAAGTCTGGAGGAGAGAGTCCTAGCTCGTGGGTACCTTTGCTGTAGGTCCGGCGCACAGGGCACCAGAGTGCTTCTCCCAGGTTCTGGGACCGGAAGTGCTGGCACAGCGCGCAAAAGCCAGGACCTCGATGTCTGCCCCTCTTCTGAGGGCCGGGAATATCACGTGGCTTCTTGCTTTGCAGATCAGGATGAGTGCGGCCCGGCAGCCTGCGACACGCACGCGCGCTGTGTTTCCGAGGGAGATGGCGCCTCGTGCCAGTGTTTGGAAGGGTTCGCTGGGGACGGAAAACTCTGTCTAGGTAAGAGTAAAAGCCAAATAGGCACATTTGAAAAACTGTAAACCAGAAGCAGCCTTTTTGCTCTTAACTATACAAAATCGCCAGAAAGATTTATATAATCAGCACGTCTAAGGGCATTACTTGATGTTAGCTAAATAGTGATGACGACAATGACAACACTCGTGGAAGATGTAAGGCATGTAAGTGTATCTGCACAGATTAGCATGAGGTTTATGGTACAATGGTGCGACAAATGCAGCTGACACGAAAAGGAATAAGTTATAATTGGAAGAGTGGCTTTGGCTGAAGCAAAATTTGTGTGTTCATTCATTCCAGTGGAAACAGAGCTTTTCCCCTAGTGATTAGTGTGCAAGTTTTATTCAAATAAGTAGATTGTGGTAGGTAAGTTTCTGGTTTATTTTGATGGCCTTAATATTAAAAATGAGTGATTGGTAGGCTCAGAGTTGTGACTCTCCTGCCTCAGCCTCCAGAGGTGCTGGAATGATAGGTGTGCTCCAGTGGACCTGTCTTAGAAGAGCGCTTTTGTCCTTTTCCTCATCCCAATTTGTCCTTCCCATGGAATAGATTCTTTCCCTTTTATGGCATCTATTGTACCTTTCAGATTTTATTTCCTGTTTCAGTTCTTTACACGAGACAATGTTTACACATGTGGGTCTGATTTATTTCACTTACCACTGTGGTCTCCAATTGCATGCATTTACCTATAAAAGCCTTGAGTTTATCTTTTCGTATAGCTGAGTAATACTCCGTTGTAGAAAAGTACCACATCTTTTTTATCCATTCCTCAGCTGACCTGTTGAAAGGACAGTTAAGGCTTAATTTTTTTTTTCTTTTTCCAATTTTGCATGTTTATTTCTGGTAATCTAAACAACTAATTGGAAGATAATATATAATACATCAACCATTGTCAAATTACTATTATTTTGTTTAGTGAAATTCTGTATCATTTCTAATGTTTTTTTTCTTTTCCTTTTACCATGCTGTCTTCTGTTTAAAAAATAAAAATAAAATAATTTTTAAAAACAGTTCTTATGGTCTGAAACGCTGGACAAGTGATTTACTTAGCTATTCTGACAGATGAGAACTCTTTCAAAACACCAGATAGTTATTTAAGACTTAGGTATTTGGAAAGATAGGAACTCTGTCATCGTAGATCTGTCAACATAGAACTTCACAACTAGGAAACAGGATTGCAGCATGTTTGCAAAGAATGTTCTTTTTCCCCTGCTCTTCCCACTCCCACCAGCACTGCCTAAAAACTTCATCAGCTCCTCATTTGGCCCACAGATATAGATGAATGTGCAGGGGACAGCACCGCCTGCCCCACCTCCTCCGAGTGCATCAACACAGAGGGCAGCTACGTGTGCAGGTGCTCGGCTGGGTACCGCGGAGATGGGCTTCACTGTCTCGGTGAGGAAGAGGAAAGGGGGCAGAGGGAGGCGGCAATGCTGGGAGCACAAGGAAGCCTCATGGGTGTGGTGGCTGGGAGAAGGCAAGCTAGCAGGGGGCTGCGCAGCCTGTGGGACAGGACGCAGTTAAGTCCTCAGTGAATGGCCACACTCCTGTCTTGGGCTGTTGCTGCGCTGGGGGCTTGCAGTGTCCCATCATACTCCACATTGTCACGACATGGGCCGTCATGGGGGATTGGGCAGCTTTTCCCAGTCCGAGCTTGGCCTCGGGTGCAGGTGTATGTGTGTGGAGAGGAGTCCTGGTGGTTTTTGACAGCATCAGTCTGTGGGAGAGTCCAGCCACTGGCACTGGGATAGTGGTGCAGAGTACACACAGCTCTTTAGCAATCACCACCTCTGCGTGAGGGTGGGTGGGGGCTGTGGGCCGGAGCACATCTAGCCAGTGGCTCTGCCTTCCCAGTGGAAGTGGCTTAGCAACACCACACAGGCAAGGACCAGCCCGAAGCCACCACCTGGTGCAGGGTTATCTGAACTTTCACCACATCTTTCTCCTCAGTGTTTTCTTTGTATCTTTCTGAAAACACAAATCTCTTACAGCAGGGGAAAATGTCCTGGTAAAAAAAAAAACCCTCACCTGACAGGGCCTTCTCCTGTGAAAGCTGGATGAAGTGTCAGTTGTGACTCTCCCAGACCCTTACTGAGACCCACACACCTGAGATGCTTTGTAAGGTACACATTTGGCTGTCAGTCAGGAAAATGTCACTACTCTAATTAAGCAGGCTCCTAGATAATTTAGACAAACAGACCTCATATTTAATTTCTTTTGAAAAGAAGCTTGCGTTTCTTAAATGTTTAAACTGACCCTAGATTCTAGCTCTGTTACTAACCCACCTCTTTCCAGGGTTGAACGGGACACAGAGCCACTGCCCCATGGAACCTGTGGGCTTGTGTCTCTGTCTCTGTCTCTGTCAGTCTCTGTCTCTTTCTGTCTCTGTCTCTGCCTGTCTGTCTGCCTCTGTGTCAGTGTCTGTCTCTCTCCCTCTTCTTCTCCCCCTCCCTCTCCATCTTCCTTCCCTTGAAGGTGGTAGGTAGTTTATTGAGATTATAGCAGGAAGTCAGTCTAAATGGAGTCATTTTGAACCATTTAGGGTAGCAGCTCAGAGTGAGACCTGTATCGTTGGTTCCTCAGGGTGGCAGGCACAGCCCCAGTAGCTGTGGGAAAGCTAGGATGAGGAAGTCAGGCCTTGCTTTGTGCAAGGAGAATGGGATCGAAGCGGCTGTGATGAGCAGTGCAGTTCATAGTTAGAAAAGGATCTGTCTGCAGTATTAGGTGAGAGGGCATGGGTGGGTGCAGGAGTGAGTGCGGGAAGTGAGAAAGTGTTGATTAGGCGGCAGGGACATGGAGGGCTGGGGCTGTCCAGGCCCAGAGACAGGCTGTTGGGGTGGTAGGGACTAGCAGTAAGCCTGCTTCTGTGGCTCAGGCCACAGCAGGGTGCTGTGGACCAGGTGGCTTCTCCACAAACCTTTGCTTCTGCAGTTCTGGGAGCTGCAAGTCCCACATGAAGTTGCAGCTGGCTTCGTCCTGGCACAGGTCTGTTTCCAATTTATAGATAGTCACCTTGTCTCGGTGCTCTCACGTGGCCTTTCCTCTGTGGTGTTCAGAGAGTGTGCTCCGCTGTTTGTTCCTCTTTTGAAGACCACTGTCCTTTTGGCCCAGTGCCCTAACTTCAGTCACCTCCTCCCTGACCTGACATTCAGACACAGATACAGTTACACCGGAAGTTGTGGCTTCATCATGCGAGTTGTGTGGGGAGTGTGGTGACACAATTCAGGCCTCAGGAGAGGGCTTAGGTCATCTGGGGAAAGGCTCCACTCTGAGGGCCGCTCCGGGTTTCACTTCCTGGTCACGGCTGTCCTAATATTCTAGTAGCCACGTTACGAAGAGTGAAACAGAGTAAGTGCGTTTAAATTTCATAATTTCCTTATGCTGATGTATCTAAAATACTAGCATTTTAGTATGTGAGTAGTATAAAGTGATTGGCTATTTTATATTTTGATACTAAGTCTTCAAATCCATTAAGGATTTGCACTTACCACCTCAGGAGGGAGTAGACATGCTTGTGGCACTCAGCTGTCCCCGCACCCTAACCACCATGTGAGGCAGCACAGCAGAGAGCTGGTGGTGTCCCAGCCAAGGATCGCTGCTTCTGGGGAATAACCTGGGACTGGTGTTCACCTGAAGCTCAGAGGAGATGGTGGATGCAGGAGTGTAGTGATGCTGTTCAGAGCAGAAAAAGAAGGGGAAGGGACTGGCAAGGAGGGGAGGGAAGGGAGCTATGTGTGAGGGTGGTGGTGGCGAGAACGAAAAAGATGAGAGCTGGGAAAGGAAGGATGGCTTCTTCACATATAGTTCACATCTATGTATGAAAAGCAAAAGTGTTATATTTGAATGAAATCTATGTCGATGGGCTAGATGTCTATTTGCATAAAAATAAGTATAAGTTTCAGGGTCTGTACATCTAAATATATGCCTCAAGGTAGTTTATCATTCTGCAGTTTGGGAAGTCTTTTTTCCTTCCAGGCCTGAGGAAAATCCCCCTGGTCTTCTATCAGAAGCCTGGAACCCTCCAATGGGTGTGTGGCCAAGGATTCAACCACCATGACAGAATCTCAAAAATTGCACAGGGTCCCAAAATGTGTGGCATGGCAGGGGCTAAAGAGATCCCAGATTCCGCATTTGTGTAACCTCTTTCCTCCTCCTCTGTGTCCCACTTTCCCCGCTACCCTGCTGTCCTGGCAGATGTTGATGAGTGCCAGCTGGAGGCACACAGCTGTGGGGCGGGTGCCAGCTGTGTAAACACGGAGGGCGGCTATACCTGCTCATGTGCCGGCAGCCCATTTGCACCTGGGCTGCCCTGTCTAGGTAGGTTGGGGTGTGTTCTGGCTGGGGCCAGGGTGTCCTGGGAATTCTGCCCCCACTTTCTTCAGACTGATACTGGGTTTGAGACTCTGTGATGGCTCCAGCCTTCTCAGTTTAACAGCATCTGGAATAAATCCCTTTCTGTTGCTCACAATTCAGTAAAGGTGGGCAGACAGGCAGTTCTCTTGAACACCGTGACTAATCACTTCATTTGTGAGGTTGATTTCTAGGGCTGCTGGAAAATTGCAGGGGTTCTTGCAAGGTTAGGTCAATTGTATGTCTGAGCTTTTAATGATAATATATTATATTTTTTATAATATTTCCAAATATTGACATTTAATATGTAGTCAGTCTGCAGTTGAGGTACTTTGCATGGAGTTTTCCAAGTCTGCTATGAGCTTGACAATTGCAGCACACAGTGTGGCAGGCGCACACACCTCATGTTCAGCTGTCCTGTGTGGCAGTGGCTTCCAAAGTGGGCAGCAGAGCAGGGCACAACAGAGACTCCTGGGCAGATCCTAGTCAGGTGGCAGGAGGTTGTGCTGACAGGAAGAGTAAGCCTGTGGAGGATTTTAAAACAAAAACTGGGATTAGGACAGAAGCGGTGTTCTGCATCTGAATCAGGCCCCAGGCTTTCTTTGCTTCCCTCCTAGGCTGTCACGTGGGCCCTTTTCTTCCTGAGTCCTCCACAGAAGAGCAGTGTCTCAGCATCCCTGAAGGGGAGCTGGTTTTTCCGACCTTGGAAACCAGGGAGGGGTCTGTCCCAACCCTGCTAGCTGCTTGCCTCAGCTCTGCAAGAAGGGAACTTCCTCAGCATCCCTGAAGGGGAGCTGGTTTTCCCGACCTTGGAGCCCAGGGAGGAGTCTGTCCCAACCCTGCTAGCTGCTTGCCTCAGCTCTGCAAGGAGGGAACTTCCTCAGAAAGGAAGGCTCATGCTGGCCTGCTCACTGGAGTATTAGTGATTTTTTTTCTCAAATAATTTGTATTTCTTCAAGATATTGAAAAACTGCTATTTATTAAGTCAGCTACACACCCTGGTGTTCTCCTTTTCTGAAACAGTGAACCATTCAGTGAAAGGAGCCGTTCCCACTTCGGCATTCCTCTGTTATCAGAGCATTTCCTGTCAGTGTT